TGACAGAAGCTCGTCTTCAGCAACTGTTAATTCTTGCAGTAGAGACTGACGTAACCAACAGCGTTAACACAGAAGAGGCTGTGGATACCTTTATCCAGATGGCTCCCCGGTGCATGGATTTCCGTCGAAATGGTGAGTGTGCCACTGTTTATTTCTATGCAGATGATGTAGGTGCGTGTGTTGATATGGTTTAATGTGTATAATATGTATGTGTTTAACTTGCCCCTCCAAAAGTGGTCAAATTGAAATTCCTGCACACGCCCCTGCCCACCAACGTCTCAGGCATGCTCTACCTGTTTGCTGAAACGAGGAGTGAAAGCACAAGCAAGAGAAGCTCTTCAAACGGGGACTCCTCCCTGTTGCTGGCTCTGGTTGCCGGGAGCGTGCAGACCCAAAAGACGGCTTGGCAGGATGCGTTGGGAACCCAATGGGCCGTAACAGCTTCCTGCCATGTGCAGGGCAAACAGTCACGTTTTCCCACACTGAACCAGGAGCTAGAGTGGCCACAGCTGGGGAGGGCACTAGGAAGCCTGCGATAGGTGGTTTGACTCCGGTTTGAGTACTGCAGTGTGTATGCTGGAGCCCCGGCTTTGGGGCCTGTGTCCTGAAATTGTAAACCTAGGGCATGGACACTCCCAAACGCAGGGTCCACGGACTCAAGTCCCACTAACCCATGCCTTACATTGCAGTGTAGACATGCCCTCTGAGAGCTGGCTGGGGGTTTGGGTTGCCAGGCTTATTTAGCTTGTAGGCAAGGAGTGGAGAAGCGGGCCAGAAGTGCAGGCTGGCCTCTAGAAGCCAAGGCCCAGAGAGCCAGCTGTGTGCGCTTAGGACTGGCAATGATGGGTGTGTCCTGGGGATACCCAATGTTGCCAATTCCCACGATTTTATTGTGTCATGATATTTGATACTCCTCAGAAGGCCTGAAGTCAGGTGAATACAAGAGAATCTCAGCTTGCACTTCAAACAAATATGAAGGGTTCTTTTCACCCTCTCGGTGGTGGAGAAAAGTTTAAAAACGTGACCCAAATGTGACTCTAAAAGCTCAGACACCAGAAGGCAAGTGAAAAGAACCAAATATTTATGATGTTTGTAAAAATCTCATGACTTTTAAGCCAATCTTGCGATTGTCAAAGGCTTGAGCCTAACAGTGGATACACTAGATGAACACTGCCACAGAACGGAGGAGTTCTTGCCCCTGTATTTGGCCCCGTGGTGCCAGGGGCCACACAAGGCCCTGCTTCTAGGGGCTCAATGTGGTTTCGGAAGAAGTCAGGAGCGAGGAGGGGGCTGGGGAGCAGGCTGTCTTGTCTAGTTAGATTGTAAGCGCTTGATGGGCAGGGATTGTCTGCCACTCTGTGTTTGTGCAGCACCTACCACAACCAGGCCCTGATTTTGGTTGGTTCCTAGGCACTGCTGTAATGAATGTGATTAATAACCTGCCCCTCCCACCGGGAATGTAGCCCCCTGGCATTTGGGGTACAGCATTTTAGCCATCAGGCTGGAGAGGTTGGACGGCCAGTTTAAACTGTTGGGGTAGAGCAGGTCGACTGTGAGCAGTAGGATCCTGAGGCAAGGTTTCCCCCGTGGCTGCCTCTGCCCTGGGAGCAGCCTCACACGCTGGGGGATTGGTTTTGCCCACGTCTGGGCTAGAGTTCCCCAGTGGACAATGCTCTGAACCTGCCCCGAGCTGGGCACTGCTGGCTCTCCTGACCTCTCCAGAGCCCCAGCGGTCTGCTGCAAGCACCATTCCAGGTCTCGCTCCTGGGGTCTGGCCCAGCGGGACGCCTTACCTGGGTCTGGTTCTGACTGCACGGCCCCCAGAGGAAGTAGTTCAGAGGAGTCAGTCAGCTCTGTGGGGCCAGGCTCTCCTATCCACCGGCAATTAGTGCCCAAGGACATAGGGCGCCCTGAAAGGCCAGAGTATCAATGTACTGCATTAGCTCCCATTTCGTGCCCTAATGCATCATCCTGCCATGCTACCAGGATCCTGCTATGCCACTGCCTTGACCCTCAGTGCCCCATCTTCCTTCCCCACTAGGCCCTCACTGTGCCTCCCCTGCAGGGTGCCATTGCCTGGGAGGGGCAGTGCCACCACCCTCCATTGCCCCTCAGACACCCCCGAACCGCTTGCTTGCCCCTGAGAAGGGAGGCCAGCTCCCTGGTGTGTGGGTCACCAGCCATGCCTCTATCCCCTGCACCCCCTTAGCTGTTTGGTTTGGTCCAGATGCTGATGCTGTGGATGATCAGCCATTCGCTCTGACTCTCTGTCACTAGGATCCGCACGCACTCCGGGGCGGCAGCCGTGCTGTTCTCCAAGCCGCTCCGTTCAAAGTGTCCCTTCTCAAAGACTCCGACGTGGGTGTATGTAGAGCAGCCCTTGCCTTTCCCCTGCTGCTGGCTGCCCAGCTCCACGGCCCCTGAGTGGAGATAGTCGGTGTGGTGCTCCTCGGAGCCGGTGTGGACCTGGAGCCGTGAGATACGGGCAGGCTGGTGGAACACGATGGTGAAGTGGCTGCCGGCAGATGGGGCTTTCCCCCAGAAGTACTCCGGCATCGTGCTGTAGGCCTTGCTGGGCAGGTAGTTCTCAAAGGTGTCTATGTCTGTGAACATCACAGCTGGGGGGTTGTCAGGCAGGTCCAAGGAATCTGCCTCAAAGTCGTCGTCTTTCAGCCGATTGACCGCCCCCTGGAAGGAGGAGTACAGGCCGATGTGCTGGAAGAGGGACGGCTTGAAGCGAATCACCTCCTTCTGGGTGAGCAGCAGGCGGAAGTGCCCCAGCAGCCAGTCACATGGCATTTCCTGGTAGAACAGCAGCAGGAACTGGGACAGCTGGGGCAGGTCGCTGGAGTGGTAGAGTTTGCCAATGTAGCCCAGCTTGGAGAACTCCAGAGTGACCCAGTAGGAGCCTTCCCGGGATGCCACTGCCTTCCTGATGGCAGTGAAGAAGGACTTGGAGCACTGCACGTCGTCCTCAATCATGAGGTAGTAGGAGGAAAGGTTGGCAGCGAAGCTGAGGAGATACGCATAGTCCACGTTCTGCTTGGATCTGAACTGCACTCGATTCTCGGCATCATTGTAGTTCCTCTTCAGGCCTTCCAGGGGCGGGTAGCACTCCGGAGGGGCATGGATAACCAGCAGCTGGCCCCGGAGGAGGTGGGGAGTGAATCTTGCGGTAATGTCTGTCACCACCTGGGTGTTCCACTCCGAGTCCGGGTCAGCCAGGTGCACCACCACCACCATCTCCTCCAGCTCCTCCTGGGTTGACTGCTTAAAGATGGACTTCAGTGTGTCCAGGAGGTAGTTGCCTCGCTTCCGCTTGATAGACGACAGCCCCACAGTGAGGAACTCTGAAACACAGAGGGATGAAAGGACAGACATATCAGTAAGGCCCAGACCCTCACGGTATTTCGGGGCCTAACTCCCTTTGAAATCCAGGAGAGTTTGGCACCTAAATACCTGTGAGGGTGCGAAGCTGGCTGATTTCACAAGAAGCCAATAGCAGGTCCTTGTGTTTGAACTCAGGCTGACACCTTCTACTGAAGGTCTCAGAGGATGGCTGGGCCTTTACGGGGAGTTGTGCCCAACCTTACCTATGACAGATTGGCTACATCCCACCTGAGATGGATAGCTGCCTTCAACTACCTGAAGGGGGATCCAAAGAGGATGGAGCTCGGCTGTTCTCAGTGGTGGCAGATGACAGAACAAGGAGCAATGGTCTCAAGTTGCAGTGGGGGAGGTCTAGGTTGGATATTGGGAAACACTATTTCACTAGGAGGGTGGTGAAGCACTGGAATGGGTTCCCTAGGGAGGTGGTGGAATCTCCTTCCGTAGAGGTTTTTAAGGTCAGGCTTGACAAAGCCCTGGCTGGGATGATTTAGTTGGGGTTGGTCCTGCTTTGCAGGGCTGGCTTTAGGCACTGCGGGGCCCGATTCAAAAGAGCTGCCGCTGAAGACAGCGGCGGGACTTCGGCGGCAGCTCCTTTGGCTGACGGTGCATTCGGCGGAGGGTCCTTAGGGACGTTGCAGGGCCCTCTTAGGGGGAATCGCCCGAATCGCCCTAAAGCCAGCCCTGCTGCTTTGAGTAGGGAATTGGACTAGATGACCTCCTGAGGTCTCTTCCAACCCTAATATTCTATGATTCTATTCCTTTCCCCAACTTTGTGTCTGTCTTCTGAATTTCAATGGTAGGCTCTAGGAGTCAGGAAGCAAATTGTACTATTTGTTTGTACAGCAGCTACCCCACTGGTAAATGTGAATTGTTTAATGATGCTAGTAATTTCAGGAGAAATGTGTGCGTACCAGCCCTTGCTTATTTATCACGTTTTCTTGTTAATTTCCCCTTTGCGTCCTACTGAATCTCTCTCAGTGAAAAGCTCCAAGCCCGTGTTGTTTAATCAGAGTGGAATAGCTGCCATCTCTCCTTGCCCCAGATGACTCAACCACTCCCACTGCACCTCCAAACTGACGCAAATGAGAATTTTAGTGCCACCAAAAAAGCCCTCCACCAACACACAAGACAGGAAAGGGTCTCCTCTCTCTTCTGTTGGTCCCCTTCCCCAAGGGAGAGCAGGAGCAGGTAGGAAGAACTGCCTCCCTGTGGGCATGGAGTAGCAAGAGTTGCACAAACAGAGCTAGAAGGAAGCTGTACGTCTTGTGCCAGATCATTTTGCCCACTGGGCGACAGTGTCACACCAACTATGCCAAGGGGAAACTCCCTTCCCGGCTGTGATGGGGGACACCAGACTCACACTGAGCTGGCAAGGGCTATGAGGCTCAGCCCTGCCCCGCTGCACCTGCATTCGCTGCCAGGTAATGAACGAATTTACAAAGGGAAGTGGACGAGTCTGTGGGTGGCTGGCTGTCCCAGGAGGAGAACAGATCTCTTATCTTTTGCTTCCTGAGGAAAGGATCAGCCCAGAGCCTTTGCAGAGACTGCTGACTGGGTGCCAGAGCTCTAGGGGGAAGGTGGGCCTGGCGCGGGACGGTGGAGTTTGTTTTTGGAACCCCTTCTGCAGTAAAGCAAAGCAGTAATTTGCAGGCTGCCTGGGCCAGGCCTGTGGGGCCCAGCGAGACTGCGGCAGGGAACCTGTGTCTGGGAGCAGTGGGGAAATGCCTCACTAAACTCCTGTGGATTTTTGCACCCTACGCAAGTCTGCCCTGTGGTTTGTCTCGGACCCGGGAGTGGGGGGGGGGGACGGGATGGTCACACACTCCCATTTGCAGCAGAGGGAAGGCCACAGCCCACTGTTGTTTCTGTTTTGGGCCTTCTCCCGTGGGCGTGAATAGCTCCTCAATGACAAACGTCTGCAGCTGCTATTCCAGGCTCCGGAGAGACTCAGCCATGTGTTTGCTAGAGCCCTAGTGAGGGTGTGGCAGCTTGTAACTTTCAGAGGAGTTAACGGGTAGAGGCTACGGGGAAGCCTAGCCTTTAACTTGACCTGCAGACTCATGTGATAGCTACAACCTGCCTTGTCTTCACTAGGATGTTAACTCAAGTAAAGCCCACGCCATTCTTCCAAGTAACGTCAAGGCTGCTCCCAGACCTCTCAAACGGCGGCGAGCCCCGCCATGGGCAAGACAGCCAAGCCCAGCACCCGAACACAGGTATAGACTCAGAACCACAGGGTGAGAAGGGATCGCAAGGTCAGCTCGTCCAGCCCCCTACCACGATGCAGGACTTGTTGTGTCTAACCCATCTCAGACAGACGGTTCCAGCCTCCTTCTGAAAACCTCCAGCGAAGGAGTTTCCACAAGCTCCCTAGGCGTCTGTCCCATCATCCTACTCTTCTTACAGTTAGGAAGTTTTTCCTGAGGTTTAATCTACATCTGCTGTGCTCATAGGTGCTGACTCTGTGGGTGCTCTGGGGCTGGAGCACCCATGGGGAAAAATTGGTGGGTGCCTTGCACCCACCGGCAGTTCCTTGCCCTGCCCCCCTCCCCGCTCCAGCTTACCTCCGCTCCGCCTCCTCCCCTGAGCGCACCACCACGTCCTGCTTCTCCCCCCACCCTCCCAGCACTTGGCGCCACGAAACAGCTTTTTCACATGGCAAGCCTGGGAGGGAGGGGGGAGGAGGGGGAACGCAGCGTGCTTGGGGGAGGAGACGGGGCCAGGGCGGGGATTTGGGGAGGGATCCAATAGGGCCAGGAAGGGGCGGAGTTCGGGCGGGGACTTTGGGGCAGAGGTGGAGTCGGGGCGGGGCCAGGGTGGGAAGGGATGGCGGCGCTAGCATCCACCAACACCAAAAAAAGTCGGTGCCTGTGGCTGTGCTGTAGTTTGACCCCATCGCCTCTTGTCCTGCCCTCTGTGGCAAGAGAGAACAACTTTTCTCCATCTTTTTTATGGCAGCCTTCCAAGTATCTGAAGACCGTTATGTCCCACCCTTAATCTCTTTTCAAAACTAAACATAGCCAGTTCCTTCAGCCTTTGCTCGTATGGCTGCATTCCTTCCCTTTGGTCATCTTTGTCACTCGCCTCTGGATCCTTTCCAGTTTCTCCACATCCTTTCTAGACATTGGTGACCAAAAATGGACACTGTCCTCCAGCTGAGGCCTAACCAGCGCTGAGTATGCCTCTGTTAATGCAATCTAAAATTGCATTTGCTTTTTGTGCAACAGGATCGCATTGCTGACTCCTGCTGAGGTTATGAACCACCACAGCTCCCAGATCCTTCTCAGCAGTGCTGCTGCCAAGCTGGTTATCCCCCATTCTGCATTGGTGCCATAGCAGCAGTTGCAGAAATCCATCAACTGGCTTCCCAAAGGCTGCTCCGCTATGGCTGGTGCCTCTAACCCAGTGTTTCTTGCCAGTCCCAGAGATCTCCTAGACACAGTTTAGGAAGGCAGCAAGTCAGTCCCCGTGGTATCAAAAAGGTTGAGAACCACACCTCTAGACCATCTCTCTCCAGATCCAGCTGCTGGCAGAGAATGCTGGAGGCTAAAGCAGGCTGGTCCTGGGATACTCACTCTTCCTAGAGGGGGCGTGGCCGGCAAGGTAGCGATAGGAGACGTTCCTGGAGGCAGAAGCGTTCCACAGCTCCTGGAAGCTGCGCAGGTTCCCATCGGGTTGGAGTTGCTGCAGCACCATTTCCTGGACCCAGCGCTTCACCTCCTCCTGGGAGCCAGAGCAGAGCCAGCGTTAGCTGCTGTTAGCGCACCCCAAGGCAGGCCTGTGGCAAATACACCTCGTCTGCCAGGGGTGGCAGCTCCAGTCCAGAGCCCCCTTTGCTCAGGAGGGCCAGAGCTGGAGAACAGCATCCCCTAGTAGTGCTGCTCCACTCTCCACCCAGCCAGTCACGCCCTCCTCCTGCTCAGACATCTCCACTGGAGTGGGGCAAGGGAGGAGAGGCCATGAAGCCCCCAATTCAGGGATGGGAGGTGGGGTTAGGAGAGGGGAGCATGGACCCCAGAGCAAGGGAAGGAGATGTGGGAAAGCCCGTGGGGCAGGGCAAGGGGAAGGACGGGGAGGGGATGCGGGGCAGCCCAGGGGCAGGGCCAGTGGAGCACAGACCCCAGAGCAAGGGGAGGGGATGTGGGGCAGGGCAAGGGGAGGGACGGGGAAGGGATATGGGGCAGCCATGGGGCAGAGCCAGGGGAGCACAGACCCCAGAGCAAGAGGAGGGGAAGCCACTCAGCCCCTGGGGCAGGGCCAGGGGAACACAGACCCCAGAGCGAGGGGATGTGCGGCAGCCCTGGGGCAGAGCCAGGGGAGCACAGACCCCAGAGCGAGGGGAGGGGATGTGGAGCAGGGCAAGGGGAGGGACAGAGAAGGGATGCAGGGCAGCCCTGGGGCAGGGCTAGGGGAACACAGACCCCCAGAGCGAGGGGAGGGGATGTGGGGCAGGGCAAGGGGAGGGACAGAGAAGGGATGCGGGGCAGCCCTGGGGCAGGGCTAGGGGAACACAGACCCCCAGAGCGAGGGGAGGGGAGAGGAGGGGAGGGGATGTGGGGCAGCCCTGGGGCAGGGCTAGGGGAACACAGACCCCCAGAGCGAGGGGAGGGGAGAGGAGGGGAGGGGATGTGGGGCAGCCCTGGGGCAGGGCTAGGGGAACACAGACCCCCAGAGCGAGGGGA